GCTTCGGGGGCGGGAGAGGGCAGAGGCGCACAGGCACATGACGGTTCCTCGAGGCAGGGTTGGAGCGCGGCGGCGCTACTAATGCTGCATGCACACACGCCTGGTTGTCTAGGGGCCGGGGAGGGTTGAGCCCGCGAGGGGCCGCCTGCGCTGCGAGGAGCAGCCGCGCGATGTCCTCGTGCCCGCTGGCGCAGGCGGCGGCCAGCGGCGTCTGGCCGTGGCGGTGTCCCTTGTCCACCGGCGCGCCCGCCTCGAGCAGCATCTTGCTCGTCGTGATGTGCCCGCCTACGCTCGACACAAGCACACGTCCGCCACCGCCCGCCCTCCCTCCGCCCGCCGCGCAGCGCGGCCCGCCGCGGCTCGAGGCGTACAGCGGCGTGGCGAGCCACTCGGGCGCCATCACGTCGACGCGGACGCCTGCTCGCGGACGGAGCGAGGGAGGGGTGAAAAGACGCTCTTCACGAGGCCGGCCGCATCTCGGCCACACCTCGAGCCACATCTCGGCCACATCTCGGCCACATCTCGGGCACATCTCGGCTAGATGCACGCCGTCGGCGAGCAGCTTGCGCAGCCCTGCCACGTCGCCGTGGTGGGCGGCGGCGTAGAGCTGCACCGCCGGCGGCGGAGGCTGGGCTGCCGCCTTAGCGGCCCGCTGCGCCTGCGCCTGCTGCTGCTCGACGTGCCTGGGGTGGGCGGGACGGGGCGGGTGAGAGGGGGCGGGGGATGTCGGGGGGGGAGGGGGGGTGTCGGGGGGGGGGGGAGGCTGCGGTGAAGGGGGCGGGGGGTGGGTGAGTAGAGGGCAAGGGGTGGGCGGGGTGAGGGCTAGTGCAGAGGAGGGCGCTCGGCGGTGCACAAGCGACTAGGCAGGGAGAGGGAGAGAGCGAGAGAGCGAGAGCAACACATAGGCACGACAGCGCACCCCTGGGCCGGCTCGAATGATCTCGGGAGGCTCGGCTAGTCTCGGCTCATCTCGGCTGGTCTCGGCTGGTCTCGGCTGGTCTCGGCTGGTCTCGGCTGGTCTCGCACCTCTGAGCCGGGCTAGGTGCATCGCGCTCCTGCTTGGGGGAGGGAGGGAGGGGGAGGGGGTCACTGGGTCATCCTCGTGTGCTGAGGAGGAGGAGGAGGGGGTCCTCTTCTCACGCGCGCAGCCCCGAGGGAAGGGGAGGGGAAGGGGGGGGGGGGGGGGGGGAGGTGAGGTGAGGTGAGGGGGAGGGGAGGGGAGGGGAGGGGGCAAAAAAGGCAAAAGGTCGAGGCGCTCCTCGGCAGGCAGCTTTGCGAGCAGCATCTTCACGATCTGCTCGTGGCCCTCGCGGCGGGAGAGGTCGAGCGGCGACCAGCCCTGCACGCGCAGCGACGGGTCCGCGCCCGCCTCGAGCAGCACCTCCACGAGGTCCGCGCGCCCAAGATGGCAAGCGAGCCAGAGCGGAGTCATACCGCTCGGGTCGGTGCGGTTCACCTGGGCGCCCGCCTTGATGAGCATTCGCGCCACCTCGGGCTTGCCGCCGTCCTGGCACGCCTTGTACAGCGGCGTGGCACCATCGTCGCGTGCGCCGTCCACTGGCGCGCCTGCGCGGATCAGCAGCCGCGCCGACTCGATGTGCCCAAACTCGCAAGCGACGTAGAGCGCGGTCGCGCCGCCTTGAGGGTGCCGCCAGTTGACGTTGGCGCCGGAGTGGAGCAGCGTCTTGACCCGTTTAGTCGCGCCGTGGTAGGCGGCCGAGTACAGCGCAGCGTCTGCCATGTTTCAAAAAAAGAATTTTATTTGCAGGGCACGCGCCCCCCAGGGCTAGGGCTCTCTTGCCCGCAACCCGATCCCGATCATCCGGCCCGCTGGGTGCGCTTCTCAGCTCCCCGGCCCTGGATGTGAGGTTGATGACTGCCTGCACTCCAAGTGCTCCAAGCACCAAGGCGCAAGGGGAATAGGACCGCCGCAAGCGGCGTGGCGTGGAGCGGTTGTGCATCCCTCCGGAGGCCGCTCTGCGCCGGGGAGGCGTTGTTGGAGGCTAGGACGCAAGCGTCCGTCCCCCTTTTCAAACTCGGGGCCCACTCCGAGCCCTGCCCTAGCGAAAATTTTTCACAATATCGCAACCGCGATACCGCGCGATATTTGGCGATAAAATGCGATAAATGGCGATGTTGTGCGATGCTCGCGATCACGCGAGCCCTTCACAGCACGCCTCAGCGACGCGCGTGAAGCGTTACACGTGTCAGTCCTGGGCGCCGAAAGTGCGAGAGAGGTGCGGGTGGGCGGCGGGAAAGCGCTTAGGGTACCCCTAGGGTTCTGAGGGCCGGATTGTTTTAAGACCTTTTAAGAAATGAGGAGGTTTGGGGGCTCAAATTGTCATTTAAGAGATTGCAGGCACGGGGGGTCCCTCTTTTAAGTCCGTTTAAGAAAATCGGCCTCGCCGGCATGCGTCGCTGGGTTCCGCGCCGGTTTCTCCAATACTGCCGTTATTAGGCACGAACCCGCCACTGAAGACACATCTGTAAGTCTGGTGCACATATGGCAGATTTGTCAATGGTACCGCGTCTGCGACGCGGGCGCCTTGCGAGCAGAGCCCTTAGCCACCCTTTATGTCTTGCGCGGTCATAAGATCTGCGAGCTGGGGATAGGACCGCCGCAAGGTGCAGCAGCTTCCTCCGCCGACTCGTCTGGCTATGACACCGATTTACCGGACGAGGTGCAGCAAGGTATGAGGTCCGCAGGGTATGTGGCGCGCTCGGCATGAGGACGCAGTTCGACGCGGCGGTGGCGGCGGGCGAGCTTCTCGAGCTGCTCGAGAGCTTGCCGCGAGGGGCGGTCGAGGCCTCTGTCCGACAGATGCGGGGTTACACCCGCACGGGCGAGTGGCCGGAGCCCATTCTCGCTAGCCCTGCCCCGCAGCGCGGCCGCTCGCCAAGCCCCCCAGACTGAGTGGTCAGATGGATAGTGCCCGAGAGCGAGGGGTCCGGGGGGGAGCACAAATAGGACGCCCAGGCTAAGTGTAGAGCGACACCCCTCTAGCCCTACTACCCACAACGACCATTCGCATTCCACAACCATTCAACATCAGATTTGCCTCGCGAGTCGCGTGCTGAGCCCTGGCCTCGACACCTCGACACCAAACCTCGACACCAACTCGACACCTCGACACCCCATGCCAACTCGACACCCCTCGACACGGACAAGCGTGGTACCAGCCTCGACAGGCCTCGACAGGCCTCGACAGGCCTCGACCGTCGACACCTCTACCCCTCGACACAGCAGCTCGACACCCCCCCTCCACACCGGGCCTCGACACCTCGACACCAGGGCTCAGGTCGCGTGCGTCCCTTTTTGCGTGGGAATAAAGCCGTACGGAAAGCACTAAGCTGTTTTCTTTTGGGTCCTGTGGGCACCCTACCCCTTGCACCCTAGCCCTTGCCAAGGCTTACTAAGGCCGCATTAATACGGACACCGGAGAGAGACATGCAAAAAATGCGCGATCGACAATAGGAGCAAACAGCTGAGAGAGAGACGCCCCTTCCCCCGACCTCACAGACTGAGAGAGGGTCGAGCGCGAGGCGGGACTGGGCAGAGGGGCGCGCGACTTGGCAGCGGAGGACCGCGCGCCGAGAGCGGCTGCGGCGGCACTCCACGGGCGGCGGTGCACCCACGACACAGCCCCGATCGAACGAACGTAAGTGTAAGTCCCGATGCACGGGCGGCGACCACAGGCCGCGGCAGCCAGCGGCGGGTGCGGCGACCAGGGCCGGGGCGGCGGGCAGCTGCGTGCCCGCACCCTACAAGCCGCGGCGGGGCTCACTTGCCCTTGGCCGCGACCTTGAGCCAGTTGCACGGCCGCATCTTCTTGTTGACCGGCACCGACTTGGTCTCGTCAGAGACGCGGAACATCACCTGCCCGGCAGCAGGCCACGTCACACCAGGTCTGTGGCGCTATCATGTCAGGCGGTGGCGTCGGGCGGCGAGGGCGCGCCGGTGCGGCATGCGGCGCGGAGAGGCGGGTGCTAGATTGGTGGGCGGGCGATGGGGGAGAGGGGGGGGAGGGGCGACTGCCGCGCGCCTTTGCCCCCTTGCCCGCCAGCTCGAGCACGCGCGCCTCCCACCAGCAATCGTCCGCCGAGATCTCGACGATCTCGCCCGGCACGGGCGCCCACCCCTTGTCGCAGTCGTCGGGCGAGAGGCGGAGCCGCGCCTTGTCAACCTAGCGGCAGCAAGGCACGCTGCGGAGCTGCGGGGGCGGGCAGTGCAGTGTGTCGCCAGCCCTTGCTCTCGCGAGAGGAAGGGGGCGTGGCGAGCTACAGCGTGCGCGAGTGCAGCGCGAGTTGTGAGGGGCGGTGACACAGAGGCGCACGCAGCGGGTGCGTGCCAATCTCGGGCCAATGAGGTGCTGGTCTGAGGTGCTGGTCCACCTTCTCGCTCAGCTTCTTGCCCTGTCGCGCGGGAGGCCGGGGCGAGGTCGAAGGCGCGCGGGGGAGGGGGGGGCGGGCTTGTGCGCCAGGGGCGGGGTCGGTAGGCTGTCGACGAAGGCGGTGTACTCGGCTAGACCTCGGCTAGACCTCGGCTAGATCTCGCCTTGCTGTCGACGAAGGCCGTGTACTCTACCTCGAAGTCCTTCTTGCCCGCCTACCTCGCGGCAGGAGGAGGAGTGACGAGGCGCTGCGCACCGCCGTGCCGGCCCCCCTCCCGTCCCCCCGCCTTCTTGACCACCGTCGCGCCCGACCACGAGTTTTGGAAGCCCTCGTCCTCGTTCTTCACCTCGACCGAGTCGCCCGCGCTGATCTGAGGGCCGGGCGGCGGAGATGGCGGGGAAGAAGGGGTGAACGGCGGGAGGGGTGCGCGTGCGCGTGGGCGTGGCGCGGGCGGGAAGGTGGCAGCGAGGAGGGTGGCGGAGGGTGAGGGCGGGGGGCGGCCGCCTTTTGCTTGGAGTAGACCTCCGCCTGCAGCCCGGCCTCGAAGTCGTCGACGAGGTCGTCGTCCATGATGTTTGCCTGCGGAGAGAGAGGGGCGGGGGGAGGGGGGGGCTCGCCCTGCCCTGCCGTGCGCCGGCCACCTCGGGCTCCCACGTCGCCTCGGGCTCCCACGTCACGTCGTCGCCCTCGGCTGTCTCTCGGCTGTCTCTCTCGGCGGTCTCTCGGCTGTCTCTCGCCTCGGGCTCCCACGTCACGTCGCCGCCCTCCCACTTGATCTGGTAGAGCACCTGCGGGGCGTGTGCCGCGCCAACTCACGGGCTCGCTCCGCATCGCACAGCGGCGCTGGCGCGCCGCCGCCCTCCCTGCTCTCCCTCACGGCCGGGCCGCTCGCCTTGCCAGCCTTGTTGAACTTGATGCCGATGATGGCGTCGACGGCGATCACCGCGTCCTTGGCCTTCGCCTTGGCCGCCGGCTTGGCCGCCCTCCTCGGCGCCGCCTTCTTGATCCCCTTGCCCTTGGGCGCCGCCTTTGCCTGCTTCGGCTTCTTCGGCGCCGCCTTCTTCGGCGCTGCCTTGGCCTGCGGGCAGAGCGCAGCGGCTCGCGAGGGCGGGAGAGCGGCGGGCGCGGCTCGGCGTCGGGCGGCGCCTTGGCCTTGGGCGCCGCCTTCGTCGGCGCCGCCTTCTTGGGCTCCGCCGAGCGCGTCGCACGCTCCTTGACCACCTACGAGCGGTGGAGGCGCCTCGCCACCGCTACCGCCTGCCGCCACCGCTGTCCGTCTGCTGGCGCGCCGAGGAGGCGTCGGCGACCGGCTTGGACGGCTTGGGACTCTTGGCCGACGCGGCCGCCTTGGCCTTGGCCGCGGGCTTGGCCGCAGGCGCAGGCTTGGCAGGCGCGGCCTTCTTTGCTGGCGGCTCCTCGGCAGCCGGCGGCGCCTTCCGCTTCTCAGCGCTGCGAGAGGCGCGGTCGCGCCTGTCCGGGACCGGCGTAGGCGCAGACTTCTTCTTCGGCGGCGGCGGCGTCGCCTTGGCAGCTGGCTTCTTCGCCTGCGAGCGGGCGTGTGCGCGCAATCGAGCGTTTCTCTCGCGACGCGGCTACCCGCTGATTTGAGCGTGCGGCGGCGAGCGCCGGGCGGCGAGCAGGTGGAGCAGGTGGGGAGAGGACGGGGAGGCGAACGCTGCTCGGCGCCGCCAGCGGCCGCGATGGCGGACCTTGGGAGCCATTTTCGCGACGGCAGGTGAGAGCAGAGCGCGAGCACAAGAAGGCAGGCCTCCAATCCCCGAGAGGGCTGGGGCTGTGGGCTCTGCGCTCTGCGCTCCCGCCATCGTCTCTGTCTGGCGTCCACCCTACCGCGTTGGTGACCCAGTCCGAGCGAGATTGTGTTTCGCCTATCTGTCTGTCTACATGTATCTATTCGTCGTCTGGTAACCCGTCCACCACAAACTAAGGACCAAGCCCTCGGCCCTCCGTCCGCCCTCGAGCCCTCCGCCACTTACATGTACATGTAGCCCAACGACCTCCACACCGCGCCCGCCACTTCCGTCCGTGCTCCGTCCCCGCCCGCCCGCTTGGGAAGATAGTTCCACCTCCGCCCGCCCGCCCTCGTTGGGTGGGATGGGATGTGCAAGGTTTTCCGGCAAACAAAAAGAAAAACAGAGTGTCCCCAGCACTTTGCGTTTCCGGAAATTTCCAGGGAAACAGAGGGTGTTGGAGAGAGAGATTTTTAGCAATACTGTAGTGAGCTGTGAGCTGTACACGGAGCGAGGGTCTGTACCGAGGCGTACAGGAGCGATCAAACCAAGATCACCATCGTCCTGAAAGGGACAAAGCTATCGTCCTGAAGGACCACGACGAGACGCCGTCCAGGACACATCCCTCTGGAACAAGGCATCTCGACTATCGGACAGTACTCAACAGCAGGGACATCTCTCTATATACACGAGTGGGGTATTCACACTCCCAACACTCCCCCATTGTCTGCGCGGTCTTCAGATGCGGCAGACAACACAGCGGAGTGTGAAGCAAGTAATTGTCACGCTGATCAGAGGCGCGAGCTAGTGAACGTGGCATGTGACCTTCCGTCTCCCGGGCCAAGGTAGTAGACTATCTGAGCGGTCGACTGGATGTCTTCAACATGGGTAGTAGAGCTTGGTCAGCCGCGCGCGGCGATCCGAGCTGAGCGCCGCGGGGCGACGGGTTGAGCGGGCGCAGCTCGCGCGGCGGGCGGGGCGACGGGCGCGCCCCTTGGCGCCGCTGGTGCGTCGGGAGGCTCGACGCGGACGATCGCCTCGGGGACTTGAGGGCGTTCTTGTTCGACGGCGCCGCGGATCTTGAAGGGTTGCCAGGCGCCGCCGAGGGTGGTGAAGGAGAACTCGTCGAAGATGACGTCGGCGGTAGAGATGATCCGCCGGACGGCGGGGATGTAGACGAGGTACTTGGAGCGCCGCGGGTCGTGGCCGAGGTTGATGCCCTTGAGACGAGTGGGGGTGAGGTCGTGCGCGCGACGAAGTTTGTGGCGAACTTGAACTTGTGGATGCTGAACGGCAGAAGCTTGAAGGGGCCGCAGAGATCGGACGCGACTCGCTCGCCGAAGTGGGTGTAGACTCGGCGATTGGTCGGCTGACTCGGGTGGCCTTTGCGGCGTCGATTGAGGCGACATGCAGCGCACTCACAGCGGTCGCTGCCGGGGCGGAAAACGTAACCTCTGTAGCGCAGTGGCCCGATGATCTTGTTCCTGCCAAAGTGGCCGAGGCGGGCGTGCCACAGGCCGTAGTCGGCATGGTCGGACGGGCGCACAGGGAGCTTGTGGCGCTCCTCCGGACCGATGAGGGTGGTGTCGAAGGCGTCGAAGACGGAGCCGCAAACGGGGTCGCTGGAGGCGTCATCGGTGTCCGCGGCGAAGGCGTCGGAGATGACGGGCTCGGGCGAAGTCGTCGTGTAGACGAGGAGGGCTCGTCGGATGCCGCGCCACAGGCGGCGGGCGGCGGGAGCGAAAGCGAAGAGGCGAAAGGCAGAGGAGGGCGAAATACCGCAAAGACGCAGTGTCGCCACATTGCACAAATGTCCAAGCCTCCCCCACGATGTGGTAGTCGCAGCGATCCTGGACAGAAGAGTGCCACCGTTGTCACATTTCAGCGGCGCAAGGCTCTGGTCGTAGACAGTTGCCATCGTCCAGAGCGGCGGCGGCGACGGAGTTGATGGTGGTGAGAGAAGGCGTCCAACATTCGTGCGAGCAGGCAACTGGACGGCTCGAGAGCTGGCGGCGGCGGCGGTGGCGGCTCGCAGGAGATGATAGCGAGCCGGTAAAGTGAAGAAGGAGAGATGAAGTTATCGATGAAGATCCGTGCCCACGAAGCCGAGCTGCTCGTGGTGGGAACCGAAGAGGAACAGACCGCAGAGATCACCCGGATCATGCTGCAGGGCTGCACGGCCGAGGTGCCGAGCAGGCTTCTGGCCGAGGTGCCAAGAAGACTTTGTGCAGGGGCTCTGGCCCTGCCCGCCACCACGACGCCCCGCAGGTGTCCATGGTGCTGGCTACCGTATTGAGCGCTAGCCGGGAAGCTGTGCGGTCGCACCGCACCAGCACTCACGACGGCCGAGTTGCCGTCGATCTCCTCGCTCCGCGATCTCACCGGAGGTACCATGTAGTGAGCTCAGAGCTGTACACGGAGCGAGGGTCTGTACCGAGGCGTACAGGAGCGATCAAACCAAGATCACCATCGTCCTGAAAGGGACAAAGCTATCGTCCTGAAGGACCACGACGAGACGCCGTCCAGGACACATCCCTCTGGAACAAGGCATCTCGACTATCGGACAGTACTCAACAGCAGGGACATCTCTCTATATACACGAGTGGGGTATTCACACTCCCAACAAATACCAAACAAATCTAACACTCACGCGTCATTTGGGGCCTGGAGCCCTGTTCACGCTTGTTGTGTTTGGTGCTCCATTCTGGCAAACTCGCGAGTTTCCCTGAGTCTGAGAGCTGGTCTGCGACTGCGTCTGGGGCAAAATCTGAGGCAAAATTGAGGAAATCGACAAAATACACAAAAAACAAACAAAATACCCAGGCGGTCGCAGGGTAATTTCCAGGTATACACGGGCAAAGCTCGCTTCCGAGCTCTCACGCCGCGCGTAGGGCCCTTAGGGGCCTAGAGAACACAACCCCCTCTCCCTTTTCTCCCAGTAAGCTAAAAGTACGTACACGGGAGAGAGAGTACACGGGTTGTGCGCAAAATTCCCGGCATTTTGCCGATTTGGCCTAAAATTTGGCTGATTTTGGGCCCAAACCAGCCTCAGACTCGGCTCAGCGCCCAAAATTTGACGATTTCCACGGAGTTTTCCCGGGAAAATAGTAATAGAGAAGAAAAGAGAGGTGGAGAGAAAAGGAAAGGATAACAGACGGGGTGCGAGAGGCAAACCTGTCATCCCAACGCCCTCCGCCCTCCGCCCTCCGCCCTCCGCCCTCCGCCCTCCGCCCTTGCGGTGGCTGGCATTCTTCATCTTCCGCACCAAGTGGGAGGGAGGAGAGCCCGTTCTTTTGCGTGCGACACGCGATGTCCGAACCGGCTCCCGCGGCCTTGCGGCCCACCACCAAGGCGGAGCGGCGAGCGCTGCAAGAGAAGCAGCGGGCGGCAAAGGAGGCCGCCAAGGCCGCCGCCGGTGGTGGTAGCGGCGGCGGCGGCGGTAGCAGTGCGGGCAAGGGCGGCGGAGGCGGAGGCGGCGCCGCAGCCAAGGCAGGCGGTGGCGGCGGTGGTGCGGTGGGAGGCGGCGCCGGCGCGGGAGGTGGCGGTTCGCATGGCGGCGGCGGCGGCGGCGGCGGCGGCGCCGTCACGGGCGGCGGCAGCGGCGGCGGCGGCGGTGCTGGCCGGAGCGCGGGCGGCGGGACAGGCGGAAAGCCTTCAAAGGCGGGCGGCGTGGACGAGGCGAAGGCGGCGCTTGCAACGAAGCAGGTGCCTCTGTTCTCGCACCTGGTCCAGTACGAGCGCGAGGCAGCGCTCTCTCCCGCCGCGATTGGGCGCGACATCCACCCCGCCGTCCAGTGCGCCGGGCTGCAGGCACCCACGCCCCTCTCCCAATCCACCACCACCGCTGCCACCGCCACAAGCCCCACCAACACCACCGCCGAACCACCCCCCCCCCTGCTTCCGCCTGCCTCGTCTCCTCTTCTCCCGCCCTCACCCTCCCCTCCCCTCCCTCGACCCCTCCCCTCCCCTCTCCCCTCCCCCCGCGCCTCTTCTCCCCTCCCCTCCGCATCCCCTCCTCCCCCCGCGCTGCAGATGGCCGAGGGCCTCCTCTCCGGCACCAACGCGCGCGTGGTGGCCATGCTCCGTGCACTGCAGGCCGTCGCGCGCGACTTCCGCTGCCCGGCCGGCAAGGTGCAAGCAGCGCACCGTATGCGCGAGAGTGGGCCGAGAGAGTCGTGTCGGGGGAGCTCCCGCTGCCGTCTTTGGCAAGGGCGGGGAGAGGGCGTGGCGCGGCGTCGCTCATTCACGGCGTCTCCTCGTGGCGCCTGCTCACAGCTCCGCGCCGCCGAGCAGGCACTCTCCCGCGAGCTCGAGGGGAGGATCAAGCTGCAGATCGCGCACCTGCACGACTGCCGCCCGAAGTCGCTCGCGATGGGCGACGCGATCAAGTGGCTCAAGCTCCGTGTCAGCCAGCTGCCCGCGCACCTGCCTCCCGACGCGGCCAAGCGCATCCTCTGCTCGCAGATCGACACGTGCCGGGCCACTGCTCGAGGGAGGGGCGCAGACTGCGTGGCGAGGCTTGAGCGACGAGGTGATGTGGACACAGGTACATCGACGAGCGGATCGAGCTCGCCGACCGCGCCATCTCCGAGTCCGCCTCGGCCAAGATCGCGCCTTCGGACGTCGTCCTCGTCTACGGCCGCTCCCACGTCGTCGAGGCGACGCTGCTGCACGCGGCGGCGCGCGGGACCAACTTCTCCGTCGTCGTCATCGACGGCGGCCCTCGCTTCGAGGGGCGCGCGATGCTGGTGCGGCTGGTGGCGGCAGGCATCCGCTGCTCCTACTCGCTGCTGCACGCCCTCTCGTACACGATGCCATCCGTCTCCAAGGCCTCCCCCGCCCCCCCGTCCCCCCTCCCACACCGCCCAGGCCTGCACAGCGCTGCAGCGTCCTGCCCCCCG